ACGAAGGAAATCCAGCTACTTTTAATGTTATATATTGTTTATCAGGAAACCATTGACGATAAGATAAGAAGATCAAGAAATTAGTACATGAGACACATGCCTAATCAATAATCTAATCTCAAACCCAAGAAGATTCAACCAACTAATAATGGAGTTACGTGATGAACAAGCAGTGGGGAGCTTCTCAAACGAAGCCAGAGCGTTGGTGGAAACCCATGGAAGCACACTCGAGGAGAAGATGGCAGAGTTGGAAAGAACAAGGGAAGAACTCAAGGGAGCCAAAGAGAGTGCTATGCAGTCCTGGCTAGACTCCAGGCCTCTGATCGATGAACTTGAGACCCTCAAATCTGAGCTTACAGCTGCTAAAGATCGATCTTCAATGTCTAGTGCCGTTCTTTCAGAACTCGAATCACAACTCCAGACCACCAACAGGTGTATCAGATCTAAGAAGGAAGAAGAGCTTAAGGCCAACGAGAATATCAACAAGATAAGCCATGCCCTTGAGCAAACACGTGAAGAACTCGAACAGCAAAAACTGGAAACAGATGAAGAACGGAGCGCAATAATGAAACTAAAACAAATACAAAGGCTAAGGAAGCTGACTCTTCGGACACTCCAACTTACAGTTAGAGCTGCGCGAATAGAGTCAGAAGCTTTTGAAGCATCTACTGCATACATACTGAGTTATGTCAATAACCCAGAAATGGGAAATGCCAATGTCCAGCTCACGTATGCAGAATATCATGCTCTGAAACAAAGAGCTAAAGAAGAAACATCACTTGCAGATTGGCGTATTTCTGTGTCAGTGGAACAGAGGCTTGCTGCTGAGGCCAGCCGGAACCTGGCCCTGTCAAGGTTAAAAAGACAACATCCCGGAAGACCAGCAAGAGAAACAATAGAAGAGGGACAAATACCTAAAGATGGAAGAAGAGAACTTGATGAACAAGATCGGAAAACAAGAGAATCCCAGCTAAACAACAGAGAGTTTGCTTTCCCCAAAGATCGAGCAAAACTAATTTCTGAATCTGATAAGGGAAACCCACAGCAAAACATTAGAAAGTCGAAAAGCAGAAACAAAATAAAGAAAAAGGTATTAAGTTTATGTCAAATAAAAAGATGTATTGAAAAGAAAATAACAAGATTGTTTTGATAATTTCAGATGGGAATGTAATTCACGACCAGGCTAAATAGCAATAGCAATGAAAATAAAATACTACATCCTTGGTTTGACAAAAAATGACAAGTCCAATAACACAAATCAGACAAGCTTGGACTTTTTCTTCCCTTATCATCTTCAAGCATTTCTGGTCCTCCAAAATATCCTGGGGAGAAAAATTGCCAGAGAAGAAGACAAAAAAATCAACCTGACATTAAATGATTTGATCAATGAGGAAATCAGAAGCATAACATCAGTACCTGATCATTCCTAGAGCCAGAAAAAAGCTGTAAAGGGGAGATAGATTGAACTATTTGACTATATGGCCTAAGATGTGAACAAAGAGAAAAGTGATATTTCTAGCCCAAGGTAGCGAAGAGCCTGGGTTTTAGAAAAAGAAAAAATAAATAAATCTTGAAACTAGATAACTAGCTAACAGCATAGAGAAACCAAAAACATATATAGTTACCATACCATCAAACAGGCAAGTCTATTGAAACATTCTGGCATATGCCCTTTTCTCCTGGTTATGTCTCTCGGCAATCTGTAATTATTATTATTGTTATCCTTTTCAAATGAAATCATTTACCAAACCAAAAAGAAGAAAAAGCATCTTTTTTGTCAAGTGAACTGATAGAACACCTAATGATCACTGACCTTCTTCCTTGCAGCAGCAAGCTCTTTCTTTATTCCACCTGAAAGAAAATGAAATCATGATGTTTAGTTGGGAATCTATCCTACTATGTTCAAAGAGATGCAGAAAATTAGGAACCAGTTATGTACTCTACCCAGTACGTTTATGTGCATAAAGGTTTAAACAGATGAGATTGACAATCTAATTGCTCAAGCAAGATGCCATACCAAGAGAAGAACAACATGATATATTCGTCTCTATTAATCTACAAACTTTTGTAAACATTCACGAGACTTATCTTAAATGGTTACTTGAGTATTAGACTAAAAATTGGTACTAACCATCATCTGGCTCCAACTCCAGTGCCTTCTTGAAGCTTCCAACTGCAGCATCCAAGTCATTAAGTGCCATATGCGCCTGTAAAAAGAGGACAAAGGAAAGTATGTTATCAAGCAATTAACTGAAAATATTGTTAAGTCAGCAAGTCAATTTTCCTTCATTTTTTCATTCAAGTTTTTTAAATTAAAAAAGCAAGGCATTTCATTTAGGTTAGCAGAAACCAAAATCTGCAAATGACATTCTGATGCAGGATTTGTAGATAGTTTAGAAATAGAAGAAATTTAAATGAGAAACAGAAAAAACAAAGACAGGCTGGAGTAGATTAGAGCCCAAGGTGAAGAAATATGGAGAGAAATAGATAGAATAAGACTAGTAATACAGAACAATAAGGAGAAGAAAGAACACAGGAAGAGTAAGGGGAAATGAAATCCTAAGAAAAAAATTTGTGGATCATCGTCATTTATTCTTAATTTTACAGGAAATAAAACATTCTAATTCTTAGAATATTTAACATCAACCTAAAAGGAAGTTAAAATATTATAGTGCCAAAACAACCTGAATAACTTAAAATACAGAATAATATGAATTTACAAAAAAAAATTAATAGAAAATTTATTCTGGATCAAGATCTTCTTTTATGCATTAGTTTAATTGAATTCTCTTAACATATTAGTATTTGCCTCCACAAAAAAATGCATGGATCCTGAAATATTAGGAATGAGAATGAACTATGGAGATGTAACCCAGAATAGTACATAACTTCTGCACTTCAGATAAATATGCAGAGCAAAGTTCATGATGGTTGGTATGACAGTATAGTGCTGGCATCTTCACAAAACCAAGCTATGAAATGGGTATACTTGAAAAGGATCCACACTACATGAAAGAGGGAAAAAGAAACATCCACACAGCATAAATATTGTGAAAAAGTTCATAAGAAAAAAGATATTTTCCCAGTTGGAGCTGTTACCTGGCCTTGACGAAAGAAAGCTTTTGCATTATCCTCATCACGCGTAGCGAATTCTGTGTCTGACAGTGCTCCTTTTAAATCTCCTAATTTTAGTTTACAGGCCTAAGAAAACAGGTTAGTTGAAAACAAGTTAAAAAACAAATGAAAGATAATTAATTATAAAGGTAATTACCAGTGATGAAAGATGATAACAAACAGGAAAAAACAAACCTTCTACTCGACAAAATACAAAAGAATTTTTTTTTTAAAAAATGAATAATGTAAGAAATCCGCAAAAATTACTTATGCATGCCTTGTATTTAGCAACAAACAAATTCTGTTTTCCATTTAGGGAAAAATGAATATCTTACAGAACTATTTGTGAATATTTGAGACTTTGTCTTCCGCAAAGATGAGCTCTTCTCTGTCACAGACATAAAAGTATCAGCTGTGAAAAGCAAGAAAAATGGAAGAACTAATGCTTGATAATAGAATGCTCACCTTCATTAATATCTTCTTTCTCCCAGCAAACATCTAAGTAGCGCAAAGCCTTCCGATACTTTCTAAGAGCCATCTTATAGTCTTGCTTCTATATGTTGGAGTAGGTACAGCAATGGGTTAGTAACCAGCAGAAAATCAATCATCCGAGTAAAAGTGAGGAAAAAAAAGCAGTCAGATTTGTACACATAACTGTAAGGTGTTCATCATGGAAAGGAAAACCACAGAAAAATATTGATAGCAGAAAATGGACTAAAAGATTACTTCACAACTATATCTTTGTAACAACAGAACTGTAAACAACACTTAGCTACCTTGTAATTTTCATTGCCAAACACTTTAATAGAATCCACAGCACTCATCCACCAAGAAGCTGCATCGGGTTTGGTATCAAGGTCAGCTGGCCAATCAGGGTAAGTATCACCATCTTTAAAGAAGTTAGATACTCCATCATCTGCACCCTCTGGGATTTCTCCACAATCCTCAATTTTAACCTCCTGAGAGGGATAATCATCCTTTTGAGTTGTAACAAGCTCTGTAGAACGAACAACGCCCATTCCCTTAATAACTTTCCCAAAAATAACATGCTTTCCATCAAGATGAGGAGTTCTTGTGGTAGTAATGAAGAACTGGGAGCCATTGGTGTTAGGACCTCTGTTAGCCATCGACAGCATTCCTTTTCTTTCATGTTTTAGCTCAAAGTTTTCATCTTCAAATTCCAAGCCATAAATTGACTCTCCACCAGTTCCGTCTCCAGCAGATATATCTCCACCTTGAATCATAAATCTTTTGATAATACGATGAAAGCAGGTACCCTGCAATCAAAAGCAATAACTGAGTGAAACACACTCAGAAAATGATGTCACTTTCCAACACATAAACAAGCAAGCTGAGAAAGAAGTTTGCTACTTTCCCTCTAAGGTTAACAATCAAAAGGGCAAAAAACGGTCTTTTAGAATAAAATGACTTCAGACTCTAAAAGAATCCATTTTACCATTTTTCCTCAGAGGCTGGTTGAACCAGGCCACATTCACCTAAGTACTTATAATTTGGAGAAATGGGATTAACAGCAATAAGTACAAAACTAGAAAAGCTAAATATGATTATAAAAAAAAGACCCAAATAGCAACTATTTGTACTAGAAAAGCTAAAACCACCTGTAAAGTAAACAACCAAATGGCATTTATTGAGCTACAGCAGCTAAAACCCGTATCGAGTTAAAAAGCCAAAAAGCACGTACTTTGCCCCCCCACAATAAGAAAATGATGAAGCAGAAGAGATAATCTCATTCATTTGAAGACCCAAGAAGGTTTTGGGCACCCTGTTATGAAACTGAGAAGAAAAACAATAACTTTTTTGAGTATCAGCTAGAGATAGAAAAAGAAGAGACCTTATAGTGAAGAGGCACACCAGTATTCGGGCCAATGCCCTTTTCACCGGTGCACAAAGCCCTGAAATTTTCAACCGTTTTGGGCACAACATCCTTGTATAACTCCACCACTACCCTCCCTTCCACTTCTCCTCCTATGCTTATGTCTAAATAGCACCTCGGGTTCGCCATTCTCTAAACCCTCAGACTTTGAATCACAAACAAACCAAACCCAGTAAAGAAAAAGCAGAAAAGGAATAAACCCTAGAAATCTTTTAAGAAATCCCGCTTTTTTGTTTTGAACTCACTCCCCTTTTCTCTGTGTAACGATGCCTTGCCTTGGGCCTTGGTTTAGTTTCAACACACTGCAGTGAGCTTTGATCCGGTGGTGATCAATGCAGTTTTGGTACTGGGTTCACTACCGTTGGATGATCACACTGATTTTGAGGCATATAATTGAATGATAAACAGCATACATTCCTGCTGATTGCTGAGCGTGCAAGTAATGAAAGGGAGATCCCAGGGGCAGAAAGGATTCACTTTTATTGCCAGATGGCGATTGATTAGCCTAGATGAGTTTGTGTCCTTTGGAATCTTAGCCGTACGATATCGTTCTTCGTACTATTTTTAATTGAGTTTCTTCTTTATGTGATTGGTTTTGGCAAGCAACTTTTACAGAATACTTTTGGTTTCAGAATTCGGATTTTTAGGTTTGCCACTCAAGTTCCTTAGTTGTTCAGTGAATAAACTTAAAATAAACATTAAGTTTAATTTTTTAATAATTATGATTTCCACATATTAAAATTAAAACATACATCATCATCTTTAATTGTTCACCACTCTACAGTTCCTCCTTATCTGCCCGTCTTTTCCAGTCAATGCACCTATATTGGACATCTTCACCATGGACGCTCCAAAATCCCTGAAGAACAGTAAAGGGTACTTGCTGTAGGTGACAACCATTGCAGCTGTCTGATTATCTCCCATCAAATCTTGGTCAGACTGTAGCAGGCCCGTGCCACTCACAAGATTTTTGTAGTAAACATTGTCAAACTTGTTGGTGGTGACAGGATCTAGAGGAGCCAAAGTAGTGTCAGAATCATCTTGATCGGGACACGTTTTCTGTAAACTCTGCAGCAGGGACGTGTCAAGTGCAGGGTCTGCAATGCCGGAGCCGCCGAAGTCGAAAAGCCTTTGCTTGAATGTGAAGCATTGAGCAAAACCAATGCTGTGTCCTCCTGAAAGGACCACCACATCTTTAATGTCGAGGCCTTTAGCAGTGAATTTTGCAGTGATGTTCTGTAATGATTCGAAAGGTGATGGGATATCGTCGTTTGCTCCATCTTTGTTTGCTGTCAAGCCATCTCGCCGGCCTAATGGGACTGACCAACATGGACCTCCAGCCTAACATGTAAATCATTTTAATGACCACAAGGTTACACGTACATATGTATGTATTTATGTAATAGTGTATATATATTTTGTCATATATAAATATACCAAATAGACAGCGTCTCTTGAAGCAAGACTTATGATATCAGCGCAAGAAACAGTATAAGGACAAGCCTTCTCCAAGCTAGCTTTAATGGCGTCAATGACCTCAAAACCTCTCACTGAGTTCCTGTTTGGAGCTGCACCTTTCTCCCCTTCCATGCTGCTCGTATCGTCCAGTAAAACTGAAGCATCACATCCCTGCATATATACATACACATATATAGTATATATAGAGTATGTGATATATGTATTCATCAACTTAACAACTTCAGTATTATGAAAAGTCAAATGAAATTACATTAACGAAACAGTCGTGGAAGTGAAGGCGCAAGAGAGAGGCAGCCATGCGAGAGTCATTAGCAAGAGCTGACATAACACCATAGCGAACAATTCTGGTAAGATTAGGGCAAGTATAGTCGTAGAATTTATAGCTCAGTTGACACAGAGCCAGAGGACTTAACATCAAGAAGAAGAACAACTGAATAAGTTTTCTAAGGTTAAACGAGGGTTTTTCATCATGACAACGGTGACCCATATCTGATCCTCACCAGATGATTAAGTTTATAGTCTTACAGGGATTCATGATGATAAGCAAGAGCAATTTATAGAGCAGATGAGAGTGGGGGAGGCACTAGATCAGTGAAGATACATGTCATGTCACGAGTTTGGTAAGATCCCATATGATTTTTGCTAATGGGAGAAGAACAAGAAGGCAGATTCATGGAGAAATATATATATAAATATATAATATATAGTAATTTGTTGCTCTTTTTGTTGGTATTTGAGATAAGGGCTGCGCCCAGATTTTTATTATTTTTGGGTGGGATTTGTCATTAGAGTTTCACAAGTCAAATGTATGGAACACAGAGCAATTCATAAAATTTATATATACATATATATACATGTTGAGTTATTTTCTTACTAAAAGGTGCCCAAAAGAAAAAACTTTTTTGTAAATTAAAATTTTGGGGAAGATAATTGAAATAGAGGTGAAACTCCAGGGACATGGATAAAGAGATTAAGAATGTGATATATGTAGGCTTCATATTTGGTTAGCATAATATATATATATATATATGTGCATAGTGGAACATACGTATGCAGATTAATGGGAGCTGGTGAAATGAATCCATCAAAGACTTGTGTAAAAGAATTAGCAATTAGGTATATAATGCATGAGACCAAATAGTACAAGTAGGAGACTAAATGAACTTGATGACTTGATCATTATGGACAAATCATAAATAAAATTCTAAACGTTGAAACAAAATATGATATCAAACAAAACTATGTATAGTGTAAAATAATTTTTTTACTATAATTATATAAAATATTAAAAAATTATATTGAAAAATAATTATTTTAAACTAATTCCTTCAACCTATTACTGAGTAAGTTTTAATTCGTAGGTTATATTAATAATTTTTTTTTCTTTTATAGCGAGATTATGTAATCATTTTATATGAATTTCTTAGTAAGTATAACCCATAAGTTAAAAAAAAAATTATAATTTTTAAAATAAATATGCTTTTAAAAAAGAATTTTGAAAAAAATATCCACTTAGGATTATGTATACTAGTAAATTAGGTTAATTAATAATAAAATTTTTGTTTTAATTATTTAAATATGCTTATTGATAGTAATGAAAAAATATATGATGCATTTAAAAAATTATCATGTAGAAAAATTAAAAAAAAAGTTTAATTTCAACAAACTAAATAATCCGAGGATACACTTGCGAATAAAAATAAATAAATAAATAATTTATTCTCAAAGAATAAAAAAAAATTATAAATAACATGATAATAGATTAAAAATAAATTATTAAGTACTTGGTAAATAACAGAAATATTTTAAATTTTATTTTTACAATAATTACAATTGTGAAGTCTGTTAAATTATTATCTAATAATTATCCTAGTGTGGAGAATAAATTAAATAAAGCAATAAAAGTTAAATTTACTTTGAAATTTGACTTAAACCTTCATGTGCCAAGAAAATCTGCACTTTAGATTATAAGTTAGTAAATTATAAGTTAGTAAAATATTATAAGTTAGTAAATTAAAAACATTATGAAATGTAATTAAATAAAACATTATTGATAGATTCCACATCATGCAGGTAAAAGAGAACTTACATACATTCTAGTTAGAAAATTTAGTTGGTGAAAAATTCTCATTTATTTTTTGTCATAATGTTTAGTAATGTAAGATATTTTTAATTTTTGAGGTAATTAATAATTAAATTATATAATAGCAATTAAGAACATCTTTATGGAGGAGTGGATATTATATATATATATATATATATATATATATATACACATACATATTTTTCCGAATAAATCATAAGAGAAATTGACTATACTCACCTATAAAACCCTAACTCTCATGTAGAGCTTCATCGATTCATCATCTTTAGCCTTACCTGTTAAATACAAAGCTATTTAGTACTGAATCAAATCATACATATATCTTTTATCCCTAAAACACTTTACACATTATTCGCGTGAATGGTAAACTTATGTGGGACCAACCTTAATCTAGCTCACGTAAAATCTAAGGTTGATTATACCAGCTGATTAGATTTACAATTAAATTCTAATATGAACGAATCGATAGAAGAATTGGAATAACTTATCCTACAAATTAATGAAACAACCTGTAAAGAATTAGATTTATCAAATCAATATGATCAAAAGGGGAACAAATAAAATAAAGCGATAGTAAAAAAAACTATTACCCCATAAAGCTCTCTCAGTAGAAATCTTTCACTAGATTGTAAACAACATCTGAACTAATCACGGCCTGAGATGTTATTCTATTAGATCCAAATATCTATTTGATTCTATTTGAATAAATATCACATCATGACAACATCCTCTCTCGATGAATATGAAATATGAGGAGC